CGTCGCAACATGCAGGCGGGAGAGCAGGAAACCGGCACTAACATGTGACAGACCACTCGGCACCTCTGCACCGCTGCACCACTGCACCCTTCTCGCCCCGAGCACACCACCATTGCACCACCATCAGCGACTCTTCCGTGTCAACCCAGACAGACTGCCTCTGATAAGCAGCTGGGAGCCCCCCTCCTCCGTCCACCATCTCCGAGTCTCTCGACACCATTCCGACTCTTGTGCTCTGTTGTCGGTTCTCACCTCCTTAGCATCGCGTCGACGCTTCGTCGCAGGACATTCCAATGTCGTAGGACGTGGTCACGACGTTCGAGCTGCACTGTCCATTGCCCCTCCACCCCCAGCGACAACCACCAACCGCCACTGATTGAAGCAACCCCGAGAAACGACCTGCGACCTACGGCATGTCCCAGGCTGGCTGACACACTCGCGTCAGCCCATCGACTGGTAGCCCTGACTGTAACCAAGAGCGAGCGACACCTGGGCCATCACTCGGCAGCACGGCATCGTCCTTAGACAGCCCACCATGGCCCTGCTCAATCCCGTCTACGCCTTCATAGTCCCCTTCCTCTTTCTTTTCACCGTGCCCCTCGCCATCTTCGCAGGCATCACAACGACTGTCGCCTTCACTGTCCTGCTCTTCCGCGTCGTCCTCGTATATCTCGACCTCGCCCTGACCCTACTCCCCTCCTACCTCAACCTTCGCCGTCTCCCCCACCAGCGGATGGGCCACCAAGCCCTCCCCGCCGCCAAGACGCCCGCAACCCTTTCGAACTCGTCCTCCCGCTCCGTGTCGCCCGTCCTGACGACGACATCTCGCACCCTCAGCTTCACCCGCACCCCGCACCGCCGACCTCGCTCCCGCCGCCCTTCGATGTCCCATGGCGCGACGACCCCAGATGCGCCACCCACGACCCTCTCCCTCTTGCCGAGCACAGGTCTTGACCGAGACTTCGAGGGAATAGGTGGCTGGCGGCTCGGGTCTTCCACAGACGATGACCGCTGGACCATGATCAACTCGCGCCTCGAGCTGCCGGACCGCCAGCGACACCATCACCGCAGCCCGAGCGGCGGGGGCGCCGACGGCGGATTCCTCATGATGAAGGGCTCGCGTGGCCGCAACCGCAGCGGCAGCCCTGAGATTTCGACCGTCGGCACGGCTGGGAACCGGGCTTCGCCTGCTTCGCCCAACAGCTCGAGAGTGCGCACGCCGGGGGCACCGGCCGCGCTGACGACTATCGAGGACGGAGAGTACTTTCCTCGGACGAGAAAATTGGCCGTCGCATAAACGGAGTGTTGTGGAACTGGACGGACCGGCGGATCATGATAATGAATAATCTTCTTATGTATGGGCGTTGAAGGAATGATTCTCCGGCGCGAGATTTGTGTATGTTAATCTGGCACGCGGGACGGAAAAGCCCGGATGGCACTTTGGCTGAATACTTTGTAAGGTGGAAATTTGCAGTCATCTTGAGCTATATTGTTGTGTTATGGATCTCAATGTGTGGCCATTGCGGTCATGGAAAAGCCCTTCAGGCACATCGCGAGATGAACAATCGGACGCCCGTTGACTCTGACGATTGCTCCCCTACCACACAATGCCCTGGCTATTCTAGCAGCGACTGCTGTCACCAACGTTTCGGGTTAGCTCAACGACAGGTACTTTCAACCCATGCAATAGATTGCTGTGCCGCCCGTGACACCTGGCTCAACCTTTGAACTCTCCGGCCGGTGTGGTGTGCAAGAGAGTGACAGAACCGGAAACCTGGCTGTAGGCAAGTCAGAAGCCTCGCCGAAGCCTTCGCAGGTGGAATTGGGCATTGTGCAACGAAACAACTACGAAGTAAGTCGACCGAGATTTTCCGTGCCACATTCACTGCAGCCCCTGTCACAGCTTGTCTATCGTGAGCTCCTCCGCAGCGATGGAGACCTGCGGCGGCTGTGGAACTTTTGTCTTGGGTTAGCCTGTCCTGATCGTGCAGACTTGCAGGACGTTGTCGAACTACGTGCAAACTATCATACCGGGTTCTACAACCTTTCGGCCGAGCCACGCACCAGCTGGCGGATGAATTCCTGCTATACCTGTACAGATCAACAGCCCACGATAGCTTTTTCGACGAGCATTTGGACAGGAGACGGGAGCCCCCACATGACGACACAGCCAAGGCACCTCAACCTCGAAACACCGAGCTCAGCGCGGGACCGATTGGGCGGCACGCCGAGGCCGGGCGGGGCTGAGCCTTCAACGGCGTCAGCCCGGGTGACCCCTCATTGGAGAACTTGGCTGCTGGGAGGAGGAGGGAGACGTTGCGGGAAGGCGCAGCGCTGCTCCATGCCTGCCGTGGTGTGCTTTGCTGCCACAGCGCAGGAAGTCGATCTGTCCTGTTGTGCCTGCCTCATTCCAGCCTACCCGCTGTGCGATCGAGCCTGCCACCTTTGTCCCTCGATCTAGATACTTCGTCCGACCTCGCTTCCATGAGAGCGTACTGTTGAAAATCGGTCTTTACCCTTGGCTACCTACCATACGCCTAACAAGGGGCAGACAGACTCAACACATCGAGATTTCAAGCAGGACGATTACCCAACATTCAGAGCCACGGGCGGGCTGAAGAACCCCCGGCACCCTCTGCCGTGCTTACGCCCCTCCGACGCAGCGTAGCGAGGCGCCAACGCCAGGCAACAGAATAAACGAAGCGCGCACACCACCCTCCATTCATCGCATCACTCGCCCATGCTAGCGAACCCCAGATTCCGTTCCTCGTCAATTGCCCAAGGTCCAGCACACGCGCCCACACCCAAAAACCTGCTATTCGTCCTTCTTTTCCTCCGTCCGCCGTTTCCCCTTCCTCTCCCCCCTCTTCTTGCCACGACGACAAGCCTCAGTCTTCCACTGGGCTCCGACAGACCCACGACTGCCTAGCGAACGGCCCACGTTTCCTTCCTTTCCTTCGTGGTCATCCTTTCATTCAGGCATCTATGGTCCCGTTGTTGGCGATAGAAAGAACTAAGAGTTAGAGAACGCAAAGAAAGAGGAAGACGATGCGCCCCTCCGCCGCCCTCGGCCTCGGCCTGCCTCTCGCCGTCCGGGGCTCTTCTCCCGACTCCACCGACTGGCAATGTATGTCCCGTAATGAGCTGTCAAGTTGTTCATGAGTTGACACATACAAGCACCCGGCCCGCAGTCCGCCTGGATTGTGTACAACAACCCCGCCACCCCCGGATACCAGAATAGCGTACGCTGTCGCCCCTCGTCCCGACTTGACTTGTGTGTCTCGGAACTTATCTCACATGACATGTACAGATTCTCAACCTCGTACTCACCCCTCAGAGCCAGTCGTGTACAGATGTGCCTCCGACTATCGCCTTTCCGAATCAACCGGACGCGACCTGGACCTACACCTGCCACGAAGATGAAGAAGACTACGAAACTCTGCACGTCAACGTCGGCGAGTTGGACATGGTGATTCGCTATGCTCTCAGCCCCTCTGGTGCTCTTGAGATTCTGGGCGTAGACAGCCCGTCGCAACTTGGGACGCCCACCGCGCTGCCCGAAGAGGTCTGCAGCGGGTTCAAGTGTGCTGTCGGCGACGTTGTCACCAGCGTCAAAAAGGTCTTCACCAACGTGTTCCGCCCTTGTAAAGATGGGACGAAGAGTGATACGGGCTCGGGGGCCGACGAAGTCGATCCAAACGAGTCCACGGATGTACCAAGTGACGCCGAAGACGGGGGTGCCACTATTCAGTCCATTGCCCAGCCTGGCCACAAGGCTGAACACCCACTCGTCGATACCGACGATCAATTCATCACCATGATGTCCGGCACCGCCAATGTTCCCAGCATTCTCGCACCCTCCGTTCCTTCTGTGAGTCTCCTATCACTTTTCGGCCTGGCCTTTTCTTTCGTTCATGTCCTAACAAATGCAGTCTACTTCCCAAACTCCCACCATAGCCCTCGCCGTCTCTGGTATTCTTTTAACCTTCTTCCTTATTGGAGTCGTCCGCAAAGCTTGCTTCCCCCGTTCAGAGCGCGAGGCAGCCCGTGACGCCCGCCGACAAGCCCGCTGGCGTGCTCGCGCCGCCCGGTGGGCCTCTCGACGTGCCGCGAAGGAGCAGCGTCGCGCAGAATTCAGGCTCGCTTTCTTCAGCTTCATCAACCGCGTCTTCCGCACTAGTGAGACCGAAGTTGACGAGGAGAAGGTCGATCAACAGACTGCCTCGTCGAACAGACGCCACCAGGCAATTGCTTTTATTAGAAAATTATTTGTTCGCGCCCCAGAAAGTAAAGAAAGAGATGCCGAGTCTCATCGCATGGTCGCTACCGACCTAGAAGCGCAGACATTCGTTGTGGGAAGTGACACGGATTCCGTCCGTTGCCCATCACGAGCCTCTTCGCGGGCTCAGTCCTTCTCCTTCGCGCGTGACAGGGACGCGGAGAGCATCACGCTCGTTGGCACCGAGGGCTCCGAGTCCGGTTACGCGGGATCCGACTCGGGCGATTCGGACACCGGCAGCGAGCGGAGCGAAGGCAGCAGCGAGGGTAGCACTACGATGGAGATGGACCTAGCGGCGCTACGAGACATGGCGTTGCGTGTCGGGCGAGTCATCGGGCGGGCGAGGGCCATCTCCGTGACGGCCTCGTTGCCGGGATACACTACCGAGGATGGCAGCGTGCCGCCGGCGTACGACGAGGAGACCGGCTCCGTGGCGGAGGGTGCTTCGAGGACGTCCGCTGATGGGAAGAGGTAGACGCTGCTCACAAACCGAGCATGTACGATACACACGCATATTTTGACTCGGGGGCGCAACGAGCGGCGACTCTAGTATTGGTTATTTATTTTATGGACACACGATGTCATCGCGGATTACATGCCGGATTTCCCTGGAGGACGAAGCGACGCGAGCAGGCATCTACACTCGCCGAATAATGAGAAGGGTTTCCAGTTGCATGTACACAATTGAACCTGACCATTCCAGAATATGAGTTTGGGTCTTCGAGGTTGGGGCGGGCGTGCGCGTCAAAAAAAATGGACTCGTAATGTTGATGATGGTCATGATGATGAATCATCGACGGTTGTGACCCCGTTGGGGCTGAGGCTTTAAACATGCAGGCTCGCCGCAACTCCTCTCTCGCCTACCTTTCCCAGCCATTATCATCATCACCATCATCACCATAGCCAGCTCGTTACACTGACCTCACATGAAGCCTGGCGCCTCATCACTCACCGCCGCAGCACCCGCCCAGCGCATCGCCCACCTCGCCCGCACAATGTCGTCGTCGTCGTCAGCCGCCGGCGCCGGCGCCGCGACAAGCAGCGCCCCGGCACCATGGCGCTCCCTCTTTCTCGAACACATCAACACAATGGCGGCGCCGGAATTCACCCTCGCGACGCTCCACAGCAACAGCAGCAGCGGCAGCGGTCCCGGCCTCGTCCCGCGCGCCCGCACCTGCATCCACCGCGGCCTCTTCGCCTCGCTGCCCGTGAACCCCAAGAACGAGGCGCCGCTGAACCCGCCCGCGTACGAGTCGGACCTCCTGACGCTGACGACGGACGCGCGCATGCACAAGACGCCCGACCTCGCGGCCGGCCACCCGGTCGAGGCCGTCTTTTGGGCGCGCGAGCCGGCGACGCAGTGGCGCGTCCGCGGCGTCGCGTACGTGCTGCCGCGCGACGCCGATGGCGATGCGGCGCTGACGGCGAGGCTGCTGCGCGAGATGCGGCGCACGGGCGAGGGTGACAGCGACGACGCCCACGGCTGGAGCTTCTCGCGCGAGGTGACGGCGCATTTTGGGAATCTGAGCCCCGTCATGCGCGGGACGTTTCGCAACCCGCCTTCCGGGACGCCCGTCGCGGCCGGGCCGCCGGTCGAGGGCGAGGGTCTCGGGCAGGTCGTTACGGATCTCGAGGACGAGGTGGCGAGGGCCAACTTTCGCGTCGTCGTCGTTGTGCCGGACGAGGTGGACCGCGTGGACCTGAGCGACCCCAAGAGGGGGCGGCGGTGGTTGTACCGTCGTATGGGCGGCGTCAACGACGACGCCGGTGGTGACACAGTACCAGGGGCCATCCGCGAGGGCGACTGGGAGAAGGTGGAGGTGTGGCCGTGATGGAGAGGACAGATGATTGGAGCCTAAGCGCATTGCCTGCCGTGTTTGCATGTGCCCTCAATCACGGCGTGTGCAGCATCTCATCACGATTTCACACGGAACGCTACCCTCCTTGGCTGGGGAGGACTCCCCAGCCGCTGTAGCTGATGACTGCAGAATATAGAGGAGGGAGGAAGCAGCCACACATGTGCGAAGTCAATTAATGCGATGCGACGCTGAATTTCAAAGATGGCAGCAGTGTCAGCCCGACCGATCACCGGCCCATCCCGCATGCCGCGTGCTTACTTGCGTCCTGATGCCGATGATGTCGCCGTAAGATGACGAGTAGGAAGGTAATCGCTCATACGCCCCCTTGGTCCATCCCCTCACCGGTCCCCGATGGAGTAGAAACAGGCACCGCCCAATGTCGGGTAGCGAGTGAAGGAAGGGAAGCAGTCCTCGTGACCAGCAGGACCGCATGGACACCGCCGCAAGATTGGCTTGGCCCTCGCTCTCCGAACAAACGCTCGTGGGCCACACTCAGCTCCATAAGTCCCCTCCGTCAACCAACACTATGGTACACAGCGTGAATCCCTGTCCCGAACGGACCAAACAGAAGCAAGGACTGACGAGGCTTCCAAGTTTCACGCGCGAAAGAAACAGGCGCTCTTTCCCCTGCCTGCCCTGCCCTTTCGTGTCCTCAGCCGAAAGGCCAAGCGGCCAAGGGAACCCCGATTAGTGGGGGTTGTTCCCTCTCGCACATGGCAGCCCTGCTAGCCTCGTCATCAATCCGCTTCTCCCGTGCCCCAACCTCCCTCCCCCCCCCTTCCGCTGACTGATGAAAGGATGTGCTGGGAGGGTCTCCGCCCGGATCGAAGGGCGTCTCTTCCCCGGGGGACATGAATGCCCACATTCGTTCGTCAGACCGGAGCTAGAAGACGTCTCATCGCCTGGCGCATGGAGGATCTAACCTGGCCCGCGAGGTCGACAACGTTCTTGAGGCATCATAATGACATCTGATACGTTCCAAAAGGAAATGTGACCTGAGAGAGGAGTATGTATGTTGGCTCGCATAAGCGAAACCGAAGACGTAAATCCCACTGTGTCTTCTTAAGTCGTGTTGGTCAGGTCAACGCTCCAAGAAAAAGAAACGGGCTGTCGCAGGGAGCGGCCTGAATCCAGCCCCCGCCCGGTTGGTGGCACCTTTGATGTTGGCTGTCAGTCAGGGTTTGACTGACCCCGGCCCTTCCGTGGCCACTTTTCACTTCCACGTGTTATTTTGTGTTTTCTTTCGCTTCCGTCCGCAAGCGTCCATTTTCAAGCCTCTTGCAACGTCTCAATCTCCGTGATCTGTCGCATTCAATCTGCTGGTGGATCTTGGCACATCAGCGGCATCACCAGAGGAAGCGCCGTTTCAAGCTTAGCCACAGGGAGCACCAGACTTGTCAAGTGGGCAAAGACGCGCAAGCTTCAGGCTCAAATGTCAGATGTGAGGTGTGTCTCTGATGTTGGAGGGAAAGGGCCGATCAAAGCGACAGGACTTCAATTGGGGCACTGGACTGCCATGATGATTTCATCATGTCGTCCGTGGCTGTCTGACGCCGTTCCGAAGCGAGCAACTCACAGGCGCAGCCTGTTGTTTGATGTTCAGCTTGACTTCGAGTCATGTCAGCAGTGCTACATATTTTTCTCGACGTACATAAATGTGTGTCTCAGACATGAGGCGATCACAGTTCAGATGCACATGCGGCGGTTTTGCGTTACCGATTCAAGGCTGACGTTGAACAATGCTGTTCTGGGCCCAAAATGGCAAGTGAACAGAGAATCGAGCTGGTGCAACAAGCTTTGTTAAGCGTGTGATGTACTCCAATCTTGCAGGTACCGAGCATGCGAGTCTGGAGACGGTGTCGCGCTATAATGGCCACCGTGCACCGTCGTTTGTGCTGTTGCGGTTGCTTGACCAGTGCTGAGCATGATGCTTCGCTCGAGCAGTTGGCAAGTTGGCCTTGTGAAGCGGTACAACTCCGCTACAGATCACGCAGAATCAGGCACCGCAATATTATCGTTCGGTGCATGACTGATCCTGACCAGGGCTGTTGGAGAAGTAACACTCGCGCTGATCGAAGATGGTGATCCCGTGCTGGTGGAAAGTACTGTTGAAGTCGTCAAGGTTCTGAAACCACCTAGATGAGGGATGCGATGCTGATCGTTCCTGATAGAGAAGTATATTCGGCGTATCTAGATCCGGGATTTCGCAGGAGTGAGAAAGCCGATGCAAATGTCGGCTGATATTGACCGAGCATCGATCGGACTGAAGTGCTTGACATGCTACATTAACTTGCCACTCCGTCGTGAAGTACAGCCATTATGACTCGGTGTTTAGAACCGAGGTCCCTGAGAAGTTGGTTTTTGGAGGGTTGTCCTCAAGACAAAAGAAAAGCTTAGGCCATTCTATGCACCCAAGCTCGAATAGCGGACAAAAGGAAGACAGCGCATCCCGGAAATACAGGAAACCTGTCCTGATAGCACCAGGAGTGAAAGAAAGTAACATAACACGACTGGAGAGAGGCCCAGGCTCAGCCACTCGAAGTATGCTCCGAGGTGGAGGAGCCAAGAATATGCAGACGAGCTCAGGTTCGCTCGATAGCACGTGTCGTGGAAGCAGAGTCATGCGTGGGTTGGCATATCACGGTACAAGAGAACCGGAGTTCCGCCAGAATTTGAAAATGTCAAACGGCTGTGCTGTTGATAGGCACACTGTCCCATCGTGACTCGGGCATTTCGAATCGGGGTCAAACAATTGAGGGTCACACCCTGTAGCTCCTGCTAGTGGACATCCTACCGTATATGGATAGCCTTTGCTTGCGGCCTAAAAAAAAAAGGCTTGGGCAAGAGTCGTAACATGGCGTGAACCAATTAGCCAGGGTGGCTCGGCAGTGGGCAGGGCGATCATCAGGCTTCGCGCCAGCGCCGGCATTTTAGTGTTCCTACCCGCGTGCTCTTCTTCGCACACAAAAGCTTCGTGTTGCCGACGCTTCATTTCCTTATATCGTCTGCCGAGGAGGCCGAGGAGTATTATCAGTGCGCGGGGCCGGCCTTGGCAATTTTCTGATTGTACTCAGTGACTATGTAGGGCATTGTTGAAGGTAGGCAAACCGTTGGCTGAGACGGAGCGACGAAGAGCCATGTCTTGTCATCGGGGGCTTCTTCGGACGCCAGTGTTTCTTGAATGCACGGCGATGCCATGTCAATGCACGACGATCGATATAGTGGAGTGGCTGGTCATCAAAACGCAAGCGCTTGCGAGCAGCCAACGGATGCCCTGCCCATCATTCGCCAGGCACTACAGACAGCACGTTAGTGGTGATTTCACAACGAGAGAATGTGACAACGGGCTGCGTCACGCACGGGTTGGCGGATGAAGCGGGGAGATGCCGGGTTGTCAAGAATTGCCGTCCTGTGTGTAATGTGTCCTTGGCTTGATGCCATGCTCGCCATGGCAGCGAACGAGCAGGCTGGGTTGGCGCACATTGACAATTTTGGGCAACGTTGTCGGCTGAACGGCGATTTCTCCATGCTCAGTGCTGTGTACCTCGCGCGCGGACGTTGGAGCGATGGTGCCACTGACCGATGGACGACGATTCATGTGGCCTTGCGGCGGCGGGCTTCCTTCGTCTGTACGGCGTCGTGACAGGCTGGCAACGTGGCTGCAGCGGTACGGGGATGCGCCAACGTGGGAGCGGTCTGTATCCAGCCAAACACGGCAAACTGGCCGACATGGGGGGGTCGGGTGTTGGGGTGGAGTGAAGAGGGAAAGAGGCCTTGTCATCGTCCAGCACTTGGCAGGTGGTAGGCCACAAGCGAGGCACGACATGGCAATTATCCGAGATGGGCGATGAAATGCGAGGCATCAGTCTGATTGTTCTGGCGTCTGATCTGGCACTGCGCACGCTGACTTACCTGCCCGGCTGCAGACGTCTAGGGCCAGTCATGATCATCTCGACAGTCGGTTCCAATGTTTCCGAGATTGCCGGAAGAAGTCGTCAGGACTGAAGAGGCTAGGAGGCGGCGAGGGGCGTCACCTCTGGCTCCAGCCACACCCGAGGGCTGGCCTGGTCGAATTTGATTGACTTTCTGGATGCATCGCAGCGGAAGACAAGCTGTCGAAGCGGCGCGGCCCCTTGTCTCTGGTCATCGTCACGAGACTTCTGGATCGTGTTGGGGGAGCGATCAGGGGGGAGAAGGAGGGGGGCCATACGAGGCAGGACACGGGAGGAAGAGAACTCAGCAATCAGGATGTCAGGCCGACCGGTCATGGACAGACCATGTTCAGGGTCCTGGGGGTTTCTCGAATGAAGCGGGATGCCTAACCAATGTACCTTTTCGGCTCTGGTCAGGGGAGGAACAGGGGAGGGGCAGAAATGGGGGAGGGACGCTGGGCGAGACGATGCTGGTGAGACATGGGCCGGGGTGGTCTCTCTTTCTCTCTTTTACCTGTACGCCTGCCTCCTTTCGCAGGAGTTTCTCTAGGTACCTAGGTGCCTTGTTGCGTTGGCTGTGAAGACTGTGCATGCCCACCCATCCTCTCAGCCTCGACGCTTGACACACACAAACACCCACTCCTGCCTATTTCTGTGTTCTCTTTTATTGACTTACCGGGACCATTAACAAACAGGTCGACAGCTTGACCTTATGAGGACCGTCGTGATTGCAAACGCGGGTGGTCTTGCTTCCCTCTCCGCGGGCGCATTGGCCGGTTACTACCCAGGGTAGGCCCTTCCCCTTCCCACCCACCATCCTTCCACCTGCCGTTCATTGGCCGTACTCCACTGCTCCCGTACTGTGTTCGACGAAGCTTCCAAGTTGAGATGCGGTGGCGTGCAGCACTTCAAACCGCCTTGTCGATCCTCGATATTAGTGTCCCATGTTGCAACGGGCGGCAGAGTGGTTAATTTGCTCAGCAAGCGAGCAAGACGCTGAAGAAGTAGCAGGATGCGAAATAAATCGGGGAACCGAAAGAAAAAGAGTTTTCGTCAGAGACCAGCTCCAACGGAAGACACATTCCTCACGCTCATGCTGTTACTGATGCTGACCTGGGCATCGTCATCGGACCCTGATTGCGTGTCCCACTATCCGGATGTATCACCTGCTACGGGTAGGTACTCCAGGCCTCACACGCCACGTATTCAAATGCAAAAGTACCTGTCGTCACCTACCTTGGGTACCTACCTACCTAAGTGCCTTGGGAACTACCCAGTCCACACTGTGCTAACACCCCTCACGAGGTGATGGAAGCACACGACGGCCAAGAGCGATGTAGGCAGGCCACGAATGGGGGGAGGCACGGCGCGGGCAGTAGGCGGGCAAGTGGGCAGGGCAAGGCAAGCGCAAGGGAACCGTCCCGAGCGGCATTAGTGTGGCCCTTTGGCCATAGCTTGACCACCTCTTCCCCCCCCAACCATTTCTGACAGGACAAGCGCCCTCTCAGTCCTGGCGACTCCTGAGAAGGCCCCGGAGCCCCGCCGCCAGCAAAGCAGCATCCCTGCCCCGGCCGTCCCCGTTGACTCCAGGTCCAACGCCCATCCCATCCCCATCCTATCCCTGCCCTCCCGTCCACTCCAGTCGGCGGTCCACTCCACAGACGGGTGCGAGCAACTAAAGTACTGGCGCCGGCGCCCGATTTAGAGAAGGGCAGAAGGGCAAGTCCTTGATTTTGATGCACTCTCTGTCCGGCACCATCTCTCCTCTCACCTAAACCTGCCCACAACTTTTCTTCTTCCACGAGTCCGACACGGACAGACACGTTTGCGCAAACACCACTGGTTCTTTGCTGCCCGAATCTGACAACAAGGACCAGCAAGCGTCCGCTCCATTGATCAGCACTGACGCAACGAGCGATCCACCTCGCAACGAGCCCTCGCCTCTCAATCTCCCCAGCGAGGTTCATTGCGTTGGGTCGTATATACCTAACGACACTTGACAGTAGTGCCCCTGTGCATCCCGTCGTCCGTCCGCCATACTGTCTCACAGCACAATATCCTTCACAAGCAGAGACACCTCGTCCTTCCAGCAAATCTGTGCCAGCGACAAACCCGCGTCATGCCTCACCCATGATCCTGACGATCCCGACCTCGTTTCTTTCGACATAGTTCACTTCTTCCAGCGTCAGCACCTGCAGCACCAATCTTACCCGGTATCAACAACCTCCTACGAATCCTCTGTTGCGGTCCTCCTGGTCAATCCGACTCGATCATCAGCCAACCTCTGTACTGGTTCGAATTCGTCCCGCCCGACCTTCTTCCGACTCGAGGCGTTAGGTTGGCACTCACCTAACGACCTCCCCCCACACCACCACAACGGCGACCCCACGAGCTAGGGACGATCCAAGGGCATTAACCATGGACGCCCTCAAGAATATCATCGCCAACGTGCCCGACTGGCTCAAGCGACTCGACGACCTCGGTACCCAGATTGACCAACGGCAAGCCGAGCTCGCGGCATTGGGTGTCAGTTCGAACAAGTCTATCAAGAACCGTGGATCCACCGAGTCTTTGAAGCCCAAGGACGTGGCGGATGCCGATGTTTCTCGTGACGCCGATCAAGTCGGCGATGCGAGGGAAACGACGCCACCACGAGAGGACAAGCAGGACGCAGCACAACCGCCGAGCCCAAATGGCAGCAGCACCCCATCGGCCATCCAGCGACAGACGCAGCAGGCCGTAGCCGTCGCCCAGGCTCGGGCCAGAGCCCAGGTCAAAAAGCGACATCGCACCGACTCGATCATTTCTGCCGATAACGCTCCAGCAAAGTACCGAACCCGCACCATGATTATCGTCTACTACGACAGCTACGTGCAAAGCTTCTTCGAGGAGCTGGTCAAATTTGTGTCCGCTAGCCGTAACCTGATGCGAAAAGCCAAAATGGCAGCCAAGGTGGCTCAGATCCGACGGCTCGCCGAGCTCCAGTCACCGGAGGATGACGAGGACGGTATGGGTGAACTCAAGCCAGGGTCCGCAGCCGATGGCGAGAACAACGATCCTCTGCCCTCACTCAGGTATATGAGCACACGACGAATGGGCGGTGGACCTCGCCTTCCTGGTTCCTCGCCATATTCTCGAAACTCTCCCGGTGGTCTTCTCGGAGAGCAAGAAAAGGACGCATACGACGACCTGGATAAGGGTCTTGAATTCGTCCAGTCCATGTGTGAGCACGCTGCTCACCAGTTCCTTCGGGACGGAGACTGCACAGAGGAGATTGGCAAGATCAAGAAACGCCTATCAGATAGCAAGGTTCTGGCTGATAAAGAGATGGCACGAGTTGAGCGGGAAGATCCTGCACTCCTCAAAGAATCAGGCGATGCGGGCAAAGCACGAACTCTCCGTCCAGCGAGCATGAGACGAGAGCTGACGCCGGTCAAAGACCGGACGACACCCGCCTCATCGCCCATGAAGCTCGAGGTTGATGACATGTTGGTGGCGGAGAAGCCAGTCCCAGTCGTCGCCACCAAAGTAGTCTCACCAGATGTCAAGTTGGAAGCTGACAACGGCCCGCTCGAGGCTGACGACGACGAGGGTGTCGAGGATATGGAAATCCCTCCACTGAAACTTCAATATCGATCAACGAGGATGATGAGGCGGTCGGCTGTTTGAGCTCGCTGGCCGCCCAGCTTCTGGTCGACGGGACTCAGCTCGCTCGAAGGCACTATTTGCAATGTATCTTCGGCTTGGCAATTTCTCGAGGCCTGCCGGACGCCGCCGAGGATGGGGCATTTAAATTCTCAAACGAGCCTCGCCTGCAGCTGTTCGCAACCGCATGTTTCACATGATTCGCAGCTTCTTGGTCACTTGTTTGCATTTTTCTTTGGAATATTGAACACAGCATAGCGTCCATTCAACGGTATGAACAGCTCATGATGGGGAGGTGGGGATAGGACTTGAAAAAGCTGGGAGAGGCAATGGGGGCGGTGACCAAGATCGCATAGCAAAATTGTGTCGCTGCCATAGCTGAGGGGACGACATGGGAAAGAAACGGGTTGCCAACGCAACAACCAAGCCACTTGGATGAGGAGTTGATTGATTTTCAAAGTACATCTCTGACGCACTGGGTGCCGAGAAAGACATGACCGTAGATTTGGGTCCGGAGTCTTTTTCTTGGAAAATATACCTTATTTTCCCTTACTCAATGTGTTCCACAAGGTCTTCAACGCACAGTCTTGCTGATGCTTTGCCAAGCCGTTTGATGCATGGCTCAAGCATGGCCGAAGCCTTCAGCATCCTGGTCAGGTAGCCTCGAGGAAAGTGTGATCAAAGCCAAGACCCCCCTGACCCCACCGCGGGGTCGCGATCTTGCTGCTGCCAAACTGCGGGGCAAACGAAGTAGGTCAATTTGGCGACAAGAGCCCAGCAACATCATCACCATGCGATAGGTTCTCCCAGGGCTCTCCTACAGTCAACATTCCCCTTGCAGCTGAAGAGCAACGGCATCATATCTCGACAAAATGACCGAAGCCAAGACCCACGCAGAGGCCCTGCTGCCCCGGTTCAAGCTAGAGCGCCTCCTCAACCAAGGTCACCGCGCTGTGTTCCTCCTCCCCCATCTGGATTGCGATCAAGGTTGACTGACTTTGTCCCCAAAGACCAGGCCGGCCGCAGATCAAGTCTTCTTGGTAGCATTGACGACAAACCGGCGCTCCTCATACTCGAGCGTGCCCCCTTTCCCGTCTCGACGGCCTACCTCGGCGAGACACCCGCGGCGCTCTCGAGCCTCAAGAACCTGGGCGCCAACGACATATACTTTTGGTTCCTCGCCCGGAGCGGCATCGTGCCGTCGACGCCGACGGACGACGCCGACGCCGACTTTTTCGCCGACCTCAAGATCAACCTCATCTACCCCTGCACGAGCACGCACGTGGCCAAGTACAGCAAGCAGCCCGTCCGGCTCGTCACGGAAACGGCCGAGATCTACCGCGACCACGTGCGACCGTACATGCAGCGCAAGCGCGACGAGGGCCGGCTGAACTGGGTCTACAACATCATCGAGGGCCGCAAGGAGGTCGAGGACGTCATCTACAGGACGCCGCTGGGCGCCGCCGGCGACGAGGGGTTCCTGCTGCTGCCGGACCTCAACTGGGACCGCAAGACGCTCGACGCGCTGCACCTCCTGGGCGCTCGTCGAGCGGGCGCGACATTTGGGTCGCTGCGCGATCTGCGTCGCCGGCCACCCTCCCCCTGGGTTGCGGCATATGCGGGCGCGGCTTCGTCGAGGGCGACGGACGGGCGCAAGTAACCCGAGCATCGACGACGACCAGCTCAAGGCTGTACGGTGCCACTTCCAAGCCGACGTTCCCACCACTTTTAACGTGCACATTGTGCACGTGCAGCTCGAGGCGGGCGCGACGCAGGCGACGGGCAAGGCGGTCGGATACGAGAGCATCATGGAGACACTGGGCGCCATGGACGCGAGCGACGAGGAAGCAGGCATGGATCGCCTGGCGTTGAGCTACACGCTGGGCGAGGCCAGCGAACTATGGACCGAGATTTTCGCCCTCTGCGCCCTGCCGTCAGACAACGTCCTCC